ATAGTGCGGCTCTGATGGAGGTGGCTCGGCATGCAGGGTCCCCTTGTCCCCGGAGGGAGTCCCCCCTCTCTGTGCTCCCCCATCCCCAGCGCAGCGATGCCTCCGTGCAGGATTTTGGGCTGTTTGTCCCCAAAGAAATAATTACCCACCCATCCCAAACACAGCTTGGGTGGCTTCTCCCCGGCTTGGGGGGCAGGCGCCATCCGTGGCTCAGTGTTGGAGCTGGCAGTGCAGGGTTGAGGGTTGGAGCTGATGATCTGGGATGTATTTTCCAGCCTTAATGATGCTATGAATCCCACTCTCCATCTCCTGCGCAGGTCTCTGCTCTTCTCCCTCCCTCCCCGTGGAGATGGTGGTGCTGCGGGCTGGGCTCTGCCCTGGCCTCACTGAGGACATGATCCAGCTTCTCAGGGACAATGGCATCAGGACGGGTAACAGGGTGGCATCGTGGGCTCGGCTTGGGGAACATCATCCCCTGTGTGTTTGAGCTGTGTCATCCCACATCCTGGGAGGGTGGTGGAATATCCTTCTGTGTCCTCCTTGCTGGATCTCTTCTGGGTTCTTCTGGGGTGGATACTGTGAGTAAGGGCTTCTCCAAAGAGCAGCAGGGTGTAAGGACATGGTAGGAGATCCCTGCAGAGGCTCATTGAGGATTGATCAGTTCTGGCTTTTTTATGGTGTTTCAGGAGGGTTTGTGCAGTTTTCCCTCTGAAAAATGCCCAGCTTCTTGGAATGCTGCACCCTGGGCACCTCCTGCCCTTAGAGGGGAAGGAAAATGTGCTGGGCACCTCTTGAGCAAAACAGGGAAAGTTTTTATCAGCTTATCTCTCTGCTCTGTTTTGCAAGAAACAATTTGTGATGAGTGATGGGGAATCTCAGAGGACAAACTCCTCCACTCACAATGTTGACATAGGATCAGTTTTTTGGGATCAGCTGCCTTGTCCCTGCACAATCCCACAGCTCCCCAGAGGGCACAGCCACTTTGCTTGTTGGTGCAGGTTTTGTCCAAGCTGGTTGTCTTCTGGTGTTTGCAGTCTGACCATGTTTGACTTCCAACCTCTTCCCTTGTGTTATTTGCAGTGGTGGACTTTGTGTCGTCAGACCTGGAGGATGTTGCCCAAAAGTGTTCCCTGTCTTACAAGGTAGAAGGTTCTACTCCTACCTCCTGATGCATTAACCAGGGAGCTCAGAGCTGTTTGGACAAGGATGGGCTTGGTCCTGGGAAGGTCTGGGGGCTTTTCTGCAGCAGCTGGGCTGTTGATCCCATTTCCAGACCTGCCTCTGCCCCCAGGCGCTGGTTGCAGTCAGACGTGTGCTCCTGGCCCAGTTCTCTGCCTTCCCTGCCAATGGAGCTGACCTCTACGAGGAGCTCAAGAGCTCCACTGCCATCCTGCCCACTGGCAGCCCAAGGTGGGCACCTCACCAGCTCTGCCTGGGGCTGGCTTTGCTGCACAAGGCTGTGGTTGCCAGCACAAGCTGTGAATTTCATTCTCCAAACCATCCCCATGTGCTTGTGTGCATTTGGGAGGGGGACTTGGAGGACAAATATCTGGGGACTGGTGTCTGCTCGTGCCCCTGCCATTCTGGCTGAAGGGGTGTGGATAATCCCTCCTTGTGTCCATCCCACAGCCTGGACCAGCTGCTGGACTCAGGGCTGTACACAGGGGAAGTGATGGAGCTCATGGGAGCACCGGGCACTGGGAAGACACAGGTGAGTGGGTGGGGGACAGGGGAGTGTCACAGACATCTTTTATGGAAAATCCTTTCTTTAGGATTTTTCTTTTTGAGAAGCTGGGAGGTCTCAGGAACAAAATGTGAACAATGGTTATCTGTTGCTGTGGAATGCAACAGGTGCATCTGTGATTGGCCCATGTTGGTTGTTTCTAATTGATGCCAATCGCAGCACAGCTGGCTCAGACAGAGTGCCAAGCCACAAACCTTTGTTATCATTGTTTGCTATTCTATTCTTAGCTAGCCTTCTGATGAAACCTTTCTTCTATTCTTTTAGTATAGTTTTAATGTAATATATATAATAAAATAATAAATCAAGCCTTCTGAAACATGGAGTCAGATCCTCATCTCTTCCCTCATCCTCAGACCCCTGTGAACACGGTCACAGGGGAGAGGACATGGGATGAAGATGTCCCACAGAGGGACATGTGAGGGCTGGCTGACACCCTGTCCCTGTCCCCTAGGTGTGCCTGGGCATTGCAGCCAGTGTGTCCCTGGGGCTCAAGCAGCACGTTCTGTTTCTCGACTCCACGGGAGGTTTCACTGCCTCCCGCCTCTACCAGATGCTCCAAGCCCAGACAGAGGATGAGGAAGAGCAGGCAAGTTCCCCTGGAGCTTGCTGTGAAACTCATTTTTCTCATTTGCCTGCCAGAAACCTCAGAGATGGTTTGTCTCTCCAGCTCTCTGTCTTTGCCCTCGTGGGCTTTTTTGAGTCCAAATCTTTCCTTCCATGGTCTGGTGGGTGCCATGCTCAGAACAGACTCTGCTCTTTGTTATTTTTTTTTGGGAGAAGGGAGGGACTTACAGGACTTGCAGGACTTTGCTCCCTGAGCTCAATCCATGTTGTAGTGGGGGCAGTGGTGTTAATGGGGTGGAGGAAAATGTGGAAGAATAAGTGTCTGTGGGATGGTGTGAGTGCAGAGAGCTGGGTCAGGAGGAATAGGACAAATCCTGGGGCAGAAGGAATAGGATAAATCCTGGGGCAGGAGGAACAGGACAGATCCTGGGGCAGGAGGAATAGGACAAATCGTGGGGCAGGGGGAATAGGACAAATCCTGGGGCTGGAGGAATAGGACAAATCGTGGGGCAGGAGGAATAGGACAAATCCTGGGGCAGGAGGAATAGTATAAATCTTGGGGCAGGAGGAATAGTATAAATCCTGGGGCAGGAGGAATAGGATAAATCGTGGGGCAGGAGGAATAGGGTAAATCTTGGGGCAGGAGGAATAGGATAAATCTTGGGGCAGGAGGAATAGGATAAATCCTGGGGCAGGAGGAATAGGATAAATCCTGGCAAACTGAGGTTGTTTTTGTGCTGCAGCTGGAGGCTCTGCAGCGGGTGCAGGTACAACGTGTGTTCAACATCTACGAGGTGCTGAGAGCCTTGCAGGAGCTGAGGGATCGCCTCTCCCAGCAGGTAGGAGCGAGCCCTGGGGCCCCTCTCCCCTCCCCAGAGCTGCAGGGAGGGCAGCAGGGCCTGTGTGCCTGACAGGAGACTCCAGATTGCCTCATCCTGGGCATGTTGGAGCCTCTGTGCAGCTCACAGCCTCCAGGGCTGCTGGATTTGTGACTCCACCTTGCACCTGGGGCCTCCTTGCAGGTGCTGAGCTCCGTGGGACCTCTCAAGGTGGTGGTGCTGGACTCGGTGTCGGCTGTGATTTACCCTCTGCTGGGTGGCAGGCAGTCAGAGGGTGAGCTGTGCTTGGAATGGGGCTGGGGCAGGACAGATCTGGATGTGACTGCTCCCAGTTTTTCCCTTGGGACTGGATAAAAGGGGAGTGTTAGCAGTGTTAGCAGCAAACACTCCAGCTGGTGTGAACACTCATGGCAGTGGTCTGAAACCCATCCAGGGGAGGCACTGGACTCTCTGGCCATAAATGAAAACTTCTCTTACAGTGTCAGAAATACATCATGGCACAGTTTGCACAGCTCCTCTGAGGCTCTTTCTGCCAGAAAGGACCATAAATGCCAAGGAGCCCTCTCAAACACCTTCCAGAGGGTCTTGCGCAGCTGGGTGGCAGCAGTGCTGTCACAGGAGGTCCCCTCAACAGCTGTGGGCTGTAGGAAAATGCAGCTGTGAGTTGGGGAGATGGGTCCTGTGCCTGCTAAATCAACCTGGCCTGCTTTGTCTGGAGCTCCTGGTGCTTTTGTAAGATTTTTGACCTTCTTCTAAGATAGGAAAGGATTGGGAATGGTCCAGTGAAGGTGTCCATGAACACAAGTGCTGGCCCTGAATCCAGTGCTGATGCAAATCCTGCTTCAGGGTGGACTTTGGGGCCTGATCCCTGACAGCCAAATGCTTTGTCCTGCTCCAGGTCTGGCCCTCATGATGCAGCTCTCCAGGGAGCTGAAGACCCTGGCCAGGGAGTTCAGCCTTGCTGTAGTGGTGAGTGTTGCTGTGCTTTGTCCCTCCTGTGCTGGAGTGTTCCAAGGAGCCACAGGGAGGCTCTGGAGCCTGTGGGAGAAGGAACCAAAGGCCTGAAGCCCCCAGTGCCCTGCTCCCTGACATCTCTGCAGCCTGCAGATCTCTTGTTCCAAGCATGGGGTAGGACCTGGGCTGACCTGCTGCCTCCTGCTCTTGCTGTCCTCAGCCATTCCCTGGGTTGAGCCAGGCAGAGTTAAGTCCAGGCAGGTTGAAAGGCTGGTTGTGTTTATTTTTGATACAACACCATTCATTTAAGGGCCTGGCCAGCTTCCTGGGTAACCCCTTGGTCACCTTGCAGGAGCTGCAGGGCATTGCATCATCCCACAGGAGCTGCCAAGGGCCCTGCTCTAGCCTTGCCCAGCTCTTGGCCAATGCACCAGACAGGTGGTGGAACCACAATTGATGTGTCTGAGCAGGGAGGGACACACCAGAGGATGGTGGGTGGTCAGCTGAGCCTGGCACTCTTTCTTCTTGTCGTGGTGATAGCCTTGGTACCTTCCTTGAGAGAGATACCAGGCTTTCCTTATCCTCAGGAAGCCTTCACTGGCTCACAAGAACAGCACAAAAATGTGTTTTCTTCATGTTTGTGCTGCAGGTGACCAACCAGGTGACAAGGGACAGCAGCAGTGGCTCACTGAAGCCAGCCCTTGGCCGCTCCTGGAGTTTTGTGCCCAGCACCCGGGTGCTGCTGGAGAGCAAAGAGGGGCCCTGGGAGAGATCCAGCACACAAAGGGCAGCTTCCCTGGCAAAGTCACCCCGGCAGGTGAGGCTG